CGACCCTGCCAGGACAAGCAATGGAAAAATACAAACAAGAACTCAAAACTGGAAAATTCATGCTGGAGGATTGCGAAGAGGTCTTCGAATTTGAAGACAAAGAAGACATCGAGCTGGCATATGAGAAGATCTGTCGAATCCTAAAACAACTAGACAAATCAAAGGATGACGTCACAGAAAACATGTTGGGAAGGGAGGATACTATCGACATAGTGCGCCAATGGAACCAAGTGCAGAAAGAAGAAATCAGACCGATTCGTGAAATGCGCAAGAGATTGAAGGAAAAACTGGACTGGTATAGCGATCAAGACTCCCGACAGAAGCAGGAAAGGGAAATCGAGCTGCAAAGGCAAATCATGGAGGAACAGACCCGAATAACCCTGCGGAAAGAGAAGGAAATGGAAGAAATAAAGATCAGACAGCAGGAACGTGAGGAAGAATGGTGTCGAAAGAAATTGGAGTTGGAAACAGAAGCTGCTGCAAAACGCTGCCAAGAAGAAAAAGGAAAGGTTCAGTCAGTAAAACTGCAGAAATACACGATCACACCGTTTAAAGGAGAGTACAAAGATTGGTTGCGATTCTGGAATCAGTTCATGGTTGAAGTCGATGGGTCGGGAATCTCAGAAATCAGCAAATTCAACTACCTTTTGGAATTGGTAACGGGAAAGCCTAGAGAAGATATTCTTGGATTACCCCACACAAGAGATGGTTATGAAGAGGCCAAGCGGATACTGGAACAAACCTATGGCAGAGATATCAAGATTCACAAGACTCTGATCAAAGAATTGGAGAATTTGCCCCACATCACAAGTGTTCAGAAGCTGACAGAGATTCACAACTTTTACAACCATCTCGCAAGGATCATCCGAACACTGGTCACCATGAAGAAACTGGAGACTGCCCAGAGCTTCGTCTATTCCCTGATGGATAAGTTGGGTCCTGTGAAAGAAGCCTTGGTGCGGAAAGATGACGAATGGGAAGAATGGAAGCTAGAAGAGTTGGTTGAGAACCTCCGCAAATACATCGATAGAAATCCACTGCCAGAAACAGACACGGGAGCCTCGCCATACCCAAGCCTGGTAAATAAAAGAAATGAATTTCAAGACTGGAGAAACAAGCGGGATAAGATGCTACTTGCGAGTGTTGAGAAACCACAAAGGAGAACTCCTGGTTGTGTATACTGCGGATTGCCAAACCATAGAAGTGTCGATTGCTTGAAGGTTTTGGACGTTGCAGCCAGAAAGGATATCCTGAAGAAGAGTAGACTGTGTTTTAATTGCACCGGATTTGGACACATGGCTACTAAATGCAATTCCAGAGAATGCGGGAAATGTAACCGAAAACACCACACATCTATCTGCGATGTCACAACAGTGACAAGTTCTCCAGCTCCGAGCGCTCCAAGCCCAGATATAGAGCAAGGAAAACGTGCGGTGAACAAGAACACAGCGATCCATGCAACTGTGGTAGCGAAGGTAAATGGAATAACTGCTCGTATAATGATAGATTCTGGTTCTGGAAGCTCTTACGTTTGTACCAGTCTGTTGACACAATTGAAGCTCAAGCCATCAAAAATCGAGAAAAGAATCATAGAACAAATGTATGGAACAGTGACTAGGAGAGTCGAGATTTACAAAGTGAAAATAACATCTGACATGGTAGATGACTTTGAGATGGAATTGACTTGTATCAATGGAGAAAAAGAAATACTAACTTTCTTACCGAATCCAAGAATCAAGTCCCTGAAGAAGAAATACAATCGTTTCAGATGCCTCAGTTTCAGTGATGAAGATGCAATGGATGATATGTTGCCAGTCCATTTGATATTGGGAACCTCTGACTTTCAAAGAATCAGAACAACTGAGCCATTGGTATTAGGCCCCAACCCTGACCGTGATCCTGGAGCAGAGTTCACAATGCTTGGCTGGACATTGAGTGGAAAAACGGTTGGCAGTGAAGTTGGAGCAGAAAAGGGTTTCTTCATGAATTCAACCAAAGATGAATTTGAACAAATGTGTTCGTTGGAAGTTCTTGGATTGTCTGATGAACTTGGAAATGAGGAAGATTTTCATGAAAACTTCAAGAAAAACATCAAACGTATGGACGATGGAAGTTATCAAACAAGATTGCCATGGAAACCAGATCACTGTGCAGTACCAACCAACCAAGATCTTGCAATGGCTAGACTACACAGCACAACCAGAAAGTTAGAGAAGCTCGGAAAATTAGAGGACTACCATCAGGTGATGTTGGAACAAGTTCAAGATGGCATATTGGAGAAAATCCCAGACAAACCAACTGGTGGAATAGTTCACTATGTGCCTCATCAACCAGTTATCCGTGAAGAAGCCGAATCAACCCGCCTGAGGATTGTGTATGACTGCTCAGCCCGTGCAAGTAGCCAGGTGCCCTCATTGAATGACTGTCTGGAGACTGGACCGTCCTTACAACCTCACATCTTCGACATATTGCTCAGGAATCGCATGAAGAAGTACTGCATCACTGGTGATGTAAAGAAAGCATTTCTACAGATCAAGCTGGATCCAATGGATAGAGATGCACAGAGGTTATTTTGGTACGACAACTTGGAGGAAAGGACAATAACAGGTTATAGATTCACCAGAGTGATATTCGGATCAGCACCCAGCCCATACATATTGGGGGCCACGCTTGAAAAACACATTAACCAGTACGAAGAAAAGTACCCCCAAACTGTGAAGAATCTGAAAGAAAACACGTATGTGGATGATGTACAATCTGTGTGCAACACTGTGGAAGAGCTTTTGAATTTCAAGGAAGAAGCAACAAACATCATGAAGGAAGGTGGATTCAAGCTGCATAAATGGCACAGCAACGCACCCGTTGAAGTTGATGCTACCAGAAGCGAAACAGAAGTTGAAGATCCCACATACGCCAAAGTGATCGTTGGGACTCAATCAAGTGAGACAAAGATCCTTGGAATTCCATGGAACACGGAGAAGGATGAATTCAGGATCAGTTTTGCGAAGTGCATAGAGAATGGGAATGGAGGAGCAGTTACCAAGAGGAAAATGCTTTCAATCATCAATGGCGTGTTTGATCTTTTAGGCTTTGTATCCCCTGTGATTATTACTGGCAAGATCTTGTACAGCAAAGTGTGCCTGAAGAAAATATCTTGGGATGAAGAATTAACCAGCGAGATCGCAGAACCTTGGCACAAATGGATCAAATGCTTGGCTAGAACACCCTCTGTATCCATACCCAGAAGTGTAATCAGTGGTGAAGTGGTGAAAATGGTACTACATGGCTTCGCAGACGCAAGCAAATTAGCTGTTTCAGCAGCAATTTTCATCGTGGCATATTACTCAAATTCAGATGTGAGCCAACGTTTATTGGTTTCAAAGTCTCGAATTGCCCCTAAGAAGAGTATTCCTCGCCTGGAACTTGTTGGCGCTCATACTTTGTGTAAGCTGGTCAATCATGTGAAGAAAACATTGGTTGAATATCCGATAGAAGAGTTCCATGGATGGTTAGACAGCACAACAGTATTGCACTGGTTAGAAGGCAATGGTACATGGACTCAGTTTGTAAGAAACAGAGCAACAGCAATCAGAGAAAGCAACCTAACTAAATGGCACTATGTACCTACTGAAGAAAACCCGAGTGATAAAGGCACAAGAGGACTTGCCCCGGAAAAACTTGGAAGATTGTGGTTCCACGGTCCAGATTGGCTGCATAATAAAGATGAGTGGCCTAGTCAACCAGATATCGTGGAGACACCTGACACACTGTGTGAAAATTTGCCCAGGAAAGAAAGGCAATTGTTTGCCAAGGAACAGATAAGGAAGCCAGATCACTTAGGTACATTGTTGGAGAAATTTTCTTACTGGAAGACATTACGAATTACGGCCTTTGTGATGAGATTCATAGCAAAATGCAGAGGCAGAAGAATTCAAGAGCCGATGTTGACAGCAGAAGAGATCAATTCAGCAGATACATATTGGATGAAAAGGTCTCAGGCATCTGAAGAACTCAAGTCTGACATTGCTCTGGAAATTGATGAAAGTGGGGTGTGGAGATGCAATGGAAGAATTCCAGGATACAATCCGATATTCTTGCCAAAAAATAACAGATTGGTAGCCTCACTTATACAGCAAAGCCACGAGAAGACGCTTCATGGGGGAGTTTCAATGACGTTGAGTGACATGAGGAAAAGATACTGGGTTCCTAAACTCCGATCACAAGTGAAGAAGATTGTACATCAATGCAACCGCTGCAAGAGACACAGAGTTAAGCCCTTGCCAAGTCCAGGAAAATCCATGTTGCCAGAGTTTAGAGCCCAACTCAGTCAGCCTTTTGCATTCACGGGAGTGGACTTCGCTGGACCGATCATATACAAGATCAAGAAGTCAACATTTGGGAAGTCATATGTAGCCTTGTTCACGTGTGCAAGTACAAGAGCCGTGCATCTGAAGCTTTGTAAAGATATGTCCGCACTAGAATTCAAGAGAACGATGAAAGAGTTTGTTGCTAGAAGAGGACTTCCACAAGTAATGGTGAGTGACAATGGAAGAACATTCGTTGCAACAAATAAATGGTTGAAGACATTGGTGAAAAATGAAGATCTGATGAATTTTTTGGCAGTTCGAAGGATCAAGTGGAAGTTCAACCTTTCTCGTGCAGCCTGGTGGGGAGGTTTTTTCGAACGACTGGTAGGAATTATGAAAAGAAGCCTCTCGAAAACAATTGGCAGGAAAGTCCTCACCTTTCCCGAGCTGGAAGAAGTCCTACTTGATGTCGAGTGCACAATGAACAACCGACCATTATGTTATCAGGGAGAAGAGTTTGAGCATCAAGTTATCACACCGAATATTCTACTGAGAGGAAAACCTGAAGTGCTCTTGGAAGAAGACTTAGACAAACTGGCCAAAGGAACCCAGTTGACAAAACGAATCATATTTACAAGGAAGAGCAAAGAGCAACTACGAAAGAGATGGATCAGTGAGTATCTCTATGCCCTAGAAGAGAGAAAACGGCGATTCGGAGGAGGCGCAGATATTATTCCCAAAACAGGAGCAGTCGTTTTGTTGAAAGAAGACACCAAGAACAAGTCGCTGTGGAAACTTGGAAGAGTGATTGGGAGTATCCATGGCAGAGACGCAGTAGTTCGTGGACTGAAGTTGAAACTCGGGAATGGAAATATCGTGGAACGACCTCTTCAACTCGTTTGTGACATGGAGATAGGTGGAGAAGATGACGCAGCAGAATTGAACCCCAAGGCAAAGGAGTTTATTCCTGAAGGAAGACCAACGAGGAAGACGAAGACAGAAGCATTGAACCAAATCAAGGGAGTCGGATGTATGAAGACGAAGAAGACTGAACAATCAAACCTTAGTATATTTTAGTATAATATTAAAACTGTAGTCACATTTTAATAGGGGGAGGGTGTGGTGAATCCTAGACATTAGGTAATCACTAAAAGGACATTATTTCCTCAAGTATAATATTAGACATTACACACGCTGTCGTCAAACAGTGCTTTCTTTGTTTTGTATCCAACGCGACTAATTGCTTGTCTGACGCATTATAAATAACTTTGTTATGATTGTACGTTGTTTAACCTAGTTTTAGAAAATCACGTAATTTTTGTTGATGTTTTGACCTGGTTTCTATGACCAGGGTAATTAAAAAATTTGCTTAAATAGAGTGCAACTCTCAGTAAATTTCAGATAGGATTTGAGGTTGCCTCACATACGAATGTATTTTCTGTGAGCATAATCATCATAATCAGGACTATTTCTCGTGATATATTTAGTGTCACTGGGAGTTTCTACGCAAAAACAGGGCTTAGTACGAGACTACAGGAAATTCCCCACAACACAGTTCACAGAAAAGCTGGTGATGGATTCTCACATAAGCACAGGCCACGGGGGAGTCAGCATGACAATGTCAAGTGTACGAGAGAGGTTTTGGGTACCGAGGTTGAGAAAGCTTGTAAAGAAATTGAGATTCAAGTGTGCAGGATGCAAGAGATTTCATGCAAGAGCATTCAACAGTCCACCACCTGGGATTCTACCAAAGGACAAAAGGACAGAAGTAGGCCATTTGAGGTGATCGGCGTTGACTACGCAGGGCCAATCCGATACAGGTGTGGGAAAGCGATAGAGAAGAAAGCATATGTTCTTTTGTTTGCCTGCAGCCTCACTCGAGCTGTATACATTGAGGTTGTCACCGATATGACAGTAGAGCAGTTCATTCCATGACTGAAAGGGTTGATTGCAAGACGCGGTAGACCTTCCAACATATATTCAGACAATGCTAAGACGTTTATTTCAGGCGCTGAGAAGCTAAATACCATGCTGAAGAGTGAGAGATTCAACGATTATCTTGCGAGGAACGACATCACATGGACATTCAACTTAAGCAAGGCTCCGTGGTGGGGCGGCCAGTTTGAAAGAATAATCGGACTTGTAAAGCAGTCTCTTTACAAGGTCATCAGAAAAGCAAACCTAAAGCTTCCAGAGCTCAAAGAAGTTATGCTCGACGTAGAGACAATCCTGAACAATCGGCCATTATGTTACGTGGAGGACGATATCCAAATGCCAGAGCTTACACCCAATGTCATGATGCTAGGAAGTAATAACGTTCTACTACAAGAGGATATTGAGGCGATAAACGATGGAGATTTAAGAAAACGAGGTAAATATCTTGAGCGATGCAAAGAAAACATATGGAAGCGGTGGTCCAATGAGTATGTCAAAGCTCTAAGAGAGAAGCATCATCTAGTGCATCATGGGAAAGAAAACCAGATATCAGTGGGAGATGTTGTTCTCATCAAGGGTGAAGCGAAGAATAGAGGCGGATGGGCAATTGGAGTAGTTGAGAGTCTTATAAAGGGAAAAGATAACATTATCAGAGCAGCTAGGCTAAGATCAAGGAAAACAAGAATAGAGAGAGCAGTGCAAATGTTATACCCTCTGGAGCTAGCATGTGACGAGGAAAACAAGAAGACCGAGGCAAGAGTGAACGATAACGAGAACGCACAACTTAAGGCACAAGCGAAGGAGTTCAGACCAAAGAGGAAAGCAGCTACAATTGCGATAGAGACAATTAGGGAGACATTTTGTGATAAAGAGAGAGAACTTGCTGATGATTAAACTTTTGACGCCTTTTCGGACGTCAAATGGGGGGAGTGTGTCAGAAACATGACTTTGTTTTGAACATTAGACTTTTATCCGGGACTATAGACCACACGATAGACCGTTAGACATTATCCGGGACGTTAGACCTTTTAACTGGGATCTTAGATTTCTGTTTTATTGTCATTATTATGCAAATTAGTTAAAACCGCGTGAGGAAGGAGGAGTGAAAGTTTTGTAGATGGCGAGAAGAGAAAAAGCGTGAAGTTTCGAGAGTTTTACGATGTTTTGATACAGATTTTGTTGGTTTTAAATGCGAGTTATTTTTGTTTTCGTGCTTCTACGATAGTTTGTGAAAACAGAACACAGCTTTTGGAAGTCTGCTGTCTTCCATACATATGATCTTTCCATGAGATGTTTATTAATTGGCGGAGATGTCCCTGCTGCACTTTATCAAGTCTCTTAATGTGACGTCTGTATAAAGTCCACGTTTCAGAGCTGTATAGAAGTGTTGGTATCACTATGGCTCTATAGACTTTCATTTTGGTCTTCGAATGGATTTCTCTCTTGTCCCACAGATGGCTTCTCAATTTTCCCAAGGCTGATGTTGCAGATTGGATTCTCTTTGTTATTTCTGCGTCTATACTTCCATTGTTGGAAATGGTTTAGTGTTCATCGGAACATCGATCGATGATTGACTAAAATGTCCATTAAACGACAAACGTGCTGTTTCAACCAGTGCGATCTTATTTTACGTGCAGAGGACACGGAGCCAGAGAGATGCAAACTGTTTGTGCAGTGTGTAACGTGATTTCTACTGACTGATTATAATTTACAAAAGTTCGTATTGATATAGAAAACTGGCAAACTTAATTAAGAGTTATACAAAGGAAAGGATATGCTCGATGGTTAACAATGGTGTGATGGATTAGGTTAAAATGACGTGTAATTAACATAGAGAATGATGAATATAGAATTACGTAGGCATGCAGAAAAAGCAATGATGGATTGTATAAAATTGCCTAAATTGAATCACTACAATGGTACTGCCCAGGTAAGTGAACTTGTCTACCTCAGTCAGTGGAGTACAGTTCAGAAGCACTTCACGAGGTTTCAGCTTTGTGTTTTGGATGTCTTGAAATAGGACTTCTGTTTTCTTGGTCCTGGGCATGACACAAACTGCATCCGGAAATGAGGCCCTGGTATGGGAATACTGGGGTTCTGGGGAGAATGTCACTACCCCTTAATCATTTTTGTGCTTGGTCACCCTTGGGCAAGGTGTAGCACCCATAGGCCTCCCTCTTCTGGGTAACCGAAGCAGATGATGAATTGGCATTTCACCATCTGTACATGCCGCAGAGTCTGGCCAACGGTGTGCTTTGGCAGAAGAGAATGCAATTCCCAATGGCAGGACAGCGGATGAGTCAGCACCGCAGTGCCGACGTGGTCTACAAGGGTGTCATCGAACCTGATTCAGGATGCAGTTGGTCGCTTATGTGCAGACTATCTTGGTCTATCCTTGCCTCTGTACTTCTGCTACCAACGTAGAGGGTGCTAGCAGTACTGGGCAAGCTACTAGTTCCTACGATTGACCAAGCTAGGAGGGGAGTGGAAAAGCCCTGTGGCGATGAAAGAAGGTGTACCAGCAGATTTGATGAACTGGAAGCCACAGCCTGATCTCTGCACACAGGCGATCGGGGTGTGATGGCTGTGCTCCTGCTGAAAAACGACAGCATTGCAAAGCAGCTGCTCAGATGACCAGGCAGCTCTTTTCAGAGATGCACTGCTTGCCCCAATCTGGGGAAGGTCCCAGAAAAGGTGAACTAAAAATTGCTCGTTCATACACTCCTGGCTGGGAAGCCACAGTCAGTGGGAATCCATAACTGCGGTGGGAAAACAGAGAAACTAAATACTAAACTTATTCTGGCATCATGGAATGTCAGAACCCTTCTTGACAATGAAGAGCGACCTGAAAGAAGAACAGCTCTCAGCTCACGTGAACTGGAATGTTACAATATTGACATTGCAGCACTACAAGAAACCCGCTTCTTTGACCAAGGACAACTCAAAAAAAATCTCACACGTTCTACTGGTCTGGTAAACCAGCTGGTGAGCAAAGAGAAGCAAGGGTTGTCTTTGCAACCTCGAATCAACTTGTTAAGATGCTCGAGTCAATACCAACTGGAAAAAGTGACCGTCTGATATTGTTAAGAATTCACAGCGGTCAAAAGAAATACCTGACACTAATCTCAGCCTATGCACCAACAATGACTAACAACAACGAAACTAAAGAGCTTTCTACCATTCGCTAGACAGCCTGCTCTCCGATACCCTCTGCTGCGGACAAGCTCATCCTACTAGGAGACTTTAATGCCAGAGTTGAAAAGGAACATGAGGCATGGCCTCAACTGCTAGGAAAGTTTGAAAAAGGGAAAATGAACTCAAACTGCGAGCTCCTTTTAACAAAGTGTTCTGAAGAAGATCTAGCCATCACAAACACATTCTTCAACTATCCAGACAAGTGGTATCACTCCTGGAAGCATCCAAGATCTAAGCACCCTTCTCTCTTGGACTACATCATTACTAGGAGGTGTGATCTGAAGGATTTCTGCAGTACCAGAGCTATGAGAGGAGCCGAGTGCTCTACTGACGATTTCATGATTCGCTCCAAGTGTCACATTAAACCAAAACCTCTTCCTATGAAGAAAAAAGGGTCCAAACCCCCCAAGAAACTGAACGTGAAAAAGTTGAAGGAACAAAGTGTAAATGACCAACTTGTAACTGCGATCAATGAGAATCTCCAAACACTACCAACTGGTACCAGTAATGAACAGTGGAGATCCCTGAAGAATGCAGTCTTTAGTGCTGCATCAGATGTCCTTGGCAAACCTACTAGGAAACATGCAGATTGGTTTGAAGAATCAAATGAAGAAATCATGGAACTTGTCAACGAAAAGAATTCGCTGTTCCACAGGACACTAGATGATAGATGTACCAGAGGGACAAGAAACGAGAGATGGAGAGAACACTTTAATCTTCTGCTGAACCCAGAGACCAATGCTGATGATGATGCGACCAGCAGCATCCTGCAACTACCTGTCAGGCATCACATGGACGAGCCACCAACTGCAGAAGAACTTGACATGGCCATCAAGAGAACAAAGTGCGGAAAAGCTGCAGGAGCAGATGGTATACCACCGGAGGTCTGGACATATGGCGAACCAGCACTTAGAAACCAACTGTTACAGCTTTTCTGCAACATCTGGTCATCAACAGCAGAAGTTCCCCAGGATTTCAAAGAGGCGACCATCGTGACCATCTACAAAAGAAAAGGGGACCGTGCAGAATGTGGAAACCACAGAGGAATTTCACTTCTATCAGTTGCAGGAAAGATACTGGCCAAAATTCTGCAATTTCGACTAAAGACCCTTGCTGAAGACATTCTTCCTGAGAGTCGGTGTCGATTAAGAGCCAACTACAAGAAAAGGGTGCTGAACAGCGTCAACCTCTCATAGTCACCTTTGTTGATTTCAGCAAAGCCTTTGACACAGTTCACAGAGAAACATTGTGAATCGTGAAGGTTCGGTAAATATCTTGAATCGTGATGGTTTATGGGATATTAAAGTTCCTGCTTCAAAAATCATTAAAGTTATTGAGAAAAATTTTAGGCATGTCACAACAGGAATTAAAAAACAAATTGACATCGAAAGGATCACTTTGATGTCACTACAAGATACTGAAATCAATGCCAACTTTCAGGTTATTGTTGGCTATGCTGAGCCAAGTTGTGTCAGTGAACCTGTGATGCTGGATACATTAACCAGTAATATCAGACTTTATATAAGAGTGAAGGCCTTTTCCAATGCCAAAGATATGATCGAGAAAGCTAGGGTACTTAAGAGTCAGACAAAGGCAAAGGCACTGCAAAAGGAAATTAAACGATCTACTGGTCCTAAGGATATAGCCCATTGACATCATTCTATTCATCGAAGGACATGTAAAGTTACTTAAGCTTGCTTCTTTTGTTTTGAATTGAATACCTTAGAAAGTATTATCATAATTGTTAATAATTCTTCAGTTCGATCTGTTGATATAATTTATCAACTGCACTAACATAAACTGTATTATTAGAAATTGATGTTTCTGATGAAGAAAAAATAAACAAAAACTTAAATCACTTTCTGTCCATGGTTTTAAAAACTTTGCGCTTTAGTAGCTTTTCTTCTTCAACCTGATCCCACTGCTGGCATTGAACCATTGGTACCTCTTGCATTTCCTGTGGTATAAATAGTTCTCTGGATATAAAGTGCATTATTGTTGTACCCAAATGCGTAGAGGTCAGGATTGTCACTACGTCTCCCTAGTTTTCTTTGGCCACCAAAATACTCCTGGACTGTATCCTTACAGAAACGCTCAATTAGGACATATTCAAAACCCTTTGATAGTGGAAATTTTATTATTTCTGGAAACGCGGCAATATCCATTGCAATGCCCTCCATTGTCTGCCAAGAAATAAACATGAGAGCTTTGTCACCTTTGCAAAAATTCCCTGGGCGTTTCTCTATAATTTCTTTCCATTCCCTGAGAAACCCAAGCATCGAGTTCTCTAGCCATCCAAAACGCATATGATCTTTTGTTGTATATGGTGCAAGAAATGGTTTTTTCTTTCTTCTGTGCACTTTTATGCTTCTGGCATTAAAACAGTCAAAGAAGCTGTCAAACATTTCACAATAAAGGGCAGTTCCAGCTACCTCTGGCGGACAATATTTCTTTAAAACAAGAGAAAAAGACTTGCTGAGAATCTGTGCAGCTAGATTCACTCTCATTACTGAAAATGGAGTGAGCTTTATGTGGTCAAAGCTGAGTCTGGGAAGCATTTTCAGGTCTCTATTTAAATCTTCATAATAAAGTTTTGAAATGTGCTCCCACATAAGGTTCTGCCATCCTTTCACATGAGCCTTGAATGATTTACAATACCAGAGTGGAAAAGAAAATTTCTTGCCGTCTTTATCAGGTGTGGAGCATCACTGAAAAAGTAATAAATCTATATTTAGCATATAGATTGACAGTGCGGTAGCAGAATTTGGTTCCTGGCTCTTTATCCATAAGTTTGTGCATTCTGAAGAATGTGCGGTTGGCTGACGCTCCATCTGCTGTGCTTGCTACCAGCCACAGATTGCATCTCAGTTCCAGGATACCAACTGCTTCCAAAAAATTGGCATCATCTGACTTGCTGTTACACTTGTTCTGTACAGACAGAACTTCAAATCTGTGCACAGCCCTCTGACTATGAAGGCAAGAGTATGTGTTGCAGGCTCATCAGCTTTCTCTAGACAGGCAAAGTTGCACTCATCACTGCCAAGATCTACAAAGCCAATTGGTTCTCTACTATGCTTGTCAAAAACTAGATTTGACTTTATCTTTATCTCATCCAGGAGAAGCACTACATACCTTTCTATATCAAAGTATTTGGCACTTAACCTGACAAGCTCCTCGACAACTCCTTCAGAGAATCCTGGTCTAGGGCGGATCCAGTTTTTGTAGTCTCTAAATGTTCTGCAACTGGGTAGTTTGATAACACCATCAGAGGTGTCTCTTGATCCATCAGAACTTGAAACAGATTTTTGGGAGAGAGATAGACAAAACCTGATTATCATGGGATGGAATCTTGTCCCACAATTTGATTTCGAAGATAATTTCTTCTGTTCCTGCCAGAATAATTAGAAAATTAAACGAACCTACCTGTAGGTGAAGTTTAATTGTAATTCTATGAGTCATCGGCCGTGATAGTGTGCGCTAGTGCATGCGAACCAGCCTTTACAGCTTAGCAAATGAAGCAATGACAAACCAGTGATATATAAAGGAAAAAATAGGAGAAGCTGGGAGGGAAGAAAAACCATAAATAACCGGGAGGGCATACCGCCGATGACTCATAGAATTACAATCAAACTTCACCTACAAGTAGGTTTGCTTAATTTTCTAATTATTCTGGCAGGAACAGAAGAAATTATCTTAATCTACAGGTAGGTTCGTTTAATTTTCTAATTCTATTTCGTCATCGTCCCAGCTCCCTACAGAGCTGCACAAGGTTTTAGAGCTGTCATTTATGCATTTGCATAATAGAAAAGTGAGGCAAAGGAAGATGCCAAATACCAAAGTAATCTCTGCTAGCACAGACTCATTCAACATATTTGGGCAGGTAGAACCCTACATAATGAATAACGTGTAAACTGGCAGCTGAAAATAATATAACAGTAAACAAGTGAATAGGGCTGCTATAACATAACATGAAACATGGGTAAGCAAGGCTATAAAAAACCTAACATATATAGAAATGTGTAAACATAATTGTAAATGTGTATATGTGTAAATAAGTCTATAGAAAATCTTAAAATAACAGTAATAGTGTAAACAGGACAACCTAACATAACAACCCAACACAACAGTAAACGAGTAGTTAAGCTGAATTCACACTGGACGCGTCACGGCGCGGCGCGTTACTGGGCGTCATCGAGCGTCGAATCAAGTACTTTTTCATGCTATTCACACACAAAGCGTCACGAAGCGACGTGTCATGCGTTTTTAGTTAGATAAAATGGCTTCCTATCAGCAAGATGTGCTTATTGCTCTCGCATTACAAAACCAAGCTATTGCTTTAACGTTATTAAGAGAAAGAAAGAAACGGCGTTCCGTTTGGGTAAGAAAATTATGGAAGGAGCGTGAACGTCAGGGGCATTATGATAACCTGATTCAAGAAATGAGGGTACAAGACCATTCAATGTACTTCAATTATTTCCGAATGCTTCCTTCGACATTCGATGATTTGCTTGGACTTGTAGGCCCATCTTTGGTCAGAAAGACAACAAACCTATGGAAGCCGTTGCCTCCACAGTTAAAAATGGCAGTAGCTTTACGATATGTGGCAACTGGACAATCTCAAGCTTCACTTTCATTCAATTACAGAATCGGGAGGTCTACAGTATGCCAAATACTTGACGAGGTGCCAGAAAAAGTTTGGAAAGCACTGAGGCCTCTTTCTGTGGCCCAACCAAACACTCCTGAAAACTGGAAACGCCTGGCTGACTACTTTTGGAATTTGTGGGGTTTTCCTTTGTGTTTGGGGGCTCTAGATGGCAAGCACTGCGTAATTAACTGTCCTCCAAACTCAGGCAGTGCTTTCTTTAACTATAAAGGTACATTCAGTAAAGTATTGATGGCAGTGGTTGATGCGAGTTATATGTTCACATTTGTTGACATTGGTGACTTTGGACGTCAATGTGACTCTAGCGTCCTAAACAATTCTCCTTTTGGTGAATGTTTGAATAAAGGATGCTTGAATATTCCAGTTCATGCTCACTTGCCAAACACTGATACAAAAGCCAAGTATTGTTTTATAGGAGATGAAGCTTTTCCTCTCAAAGATAATTTACTGCGTCCTTACCCTGGAAGAAACCTTGAAGAGAAATTACGCATCTTCAACTACCGACTCTCTCGAGCTAGGAGAGTGGTCGAGAACGCTTTTGGGATCCTTTCAGCAAGATGGCGATTCTTAAGGTCACCAATACAGGATCACCCAGAAAAAGCCATTAAAACTGTTTTGGCATCGGTTGCTCTTCACAACTGGCTCAAGAAACATGAAGACACGCAGCAAGTTTACGGTCGTTTGTACTGCCCAATAGGTTATACTGACTACAAAGATTCACATGGAATTCTTCAAAAGGGCACTTGGCGAAATGAAGTGTCAGAATCTGGAGCTCTACAGAATATTGGCAAAATGGGAACAAATAACTATACAAAAGCTGCAGAATATTATAGATCTTTGCTTGCAGATTATTTTCTTTCTCCTCAAGGTGAACTCCCATGGCAATATGATTATATTCGCAGAACTTCTTATGATCCAGTTTCTTAACAGAATATTATTTCTAATGTTTTTAATATTTTGATAACATTGTCAATTTTCTAGAAATTAATCGATTTTTCTGAAAGAAGTTCTGCAACGTTTTATGTTATGAGGGGCCTTCTTAATTTAAAATTCAACTTTCTTTGATGAAGGGGTGTAACATATATAGAGCGGGGTTGAGGGGCCTATGACATCTTTTAGATTAGGGACCCTTTTTCCAAAGAGCTATTTGTTAGATAGAACAATTGGCTAGCCGTGATGGGCATCATTTTCTTTTTTCTAGCATTTTAAAGGGGATTAAACATTAAACATACTTACTTACTTAGCATACTTAGCATTAAACAGCATAGTATGTTTCGCATCATTTATTTGGTCATAAAGTGATGGTCTGTAGCCCCCATCCTAGAATTATGTATTTAAAGGAGTTAGAAAGGCAGAAACTTTGTAAAAGTTAGACTGCTGTAGCTGATTTTCAAGGCTTCATTTGTGCATTATATTTTGCTAAAAAAAATCTACTTGGAAATAAAATGTTTTTTTAACTTAAAAGAACTCTAGGATAAAAACTAAAAAATCGTGTTTCTACTTCAAACAAATTAAATAAAGTTCATTCTATGCTTGAAGGACAAGGATTTTATAATGAACATTTGCGTATCCTATTTTTTAGAATCCCTTTCTTTGCAAGAAAATTGAAAACAAACAAATATTTATGTCTAGTCACTGATTAAGTGAGTTGCGAACCAAAGTATGCTTCTTTAATCTTATCGGAAGGCACATTGACGCAATACTGTATTCAAAATAGATGTGAACAACGTGAAGTCATGAGTCAATATTTAATTATTTGTCAACAATGATTGATACAAAGGAAATCAGGATTATAAAATTGCCACACCAAGCAGCCAGATTACTATGAGTCAGGAGTCTATTCTTGAGTTCTCCACCGTACTTCATGCAAAACTTGTTGAATCTTCAATTTTGCCAAACTTTTTTGATAGGCCGACAATTTTTTTAGTTCTTTTCCTATACTTTGACCGTAAAGACCGTCTTCATCCGCCTCCTCTTTTTTGCTAGCCGATGAAATGAACTGATTGGTGTTTTCAATCACCTTCATCAAAAACTGGCTGTTGTCAGGGGTTTTTTCTTGTCTGGGGCGTTTGGTGTTTTTTGGTTGGGTACTTTCTCGCAGAGAGTCCAACTGAGCCACAGGAGATCCAGCTGCAGCTCTATAATTTATAGGCACAGCACTCTCGTAGGAAAGCGGAGTGGCTGGTAATTCTACAAAAGAATCCTCTGTGCAATCTTGGGTAACAGTACTATCCGAAATTTGGAATGCTGGCTTGTTACCTTTTCTTGCTTCGCCAATCAAATCATGCAGACATTCGGTGTCAATGGTGCTTTTGATTTTTGATGATTCTTGGTGGCCTTCCTGCTCTTGAAGAACAAAATTTCCCCTTGTTTCTCTATGTTTCATGAAGAAGGCAAGGAACAGCAACTGCTTGAAGAATGGCCATGTTGGCTCTATTGGTTCCCCACCAGCGCTCCCAGATGGCCTGTACTCCTTTCTCACTTTCATAAATCTGTCCCTTAAGCTTTTAAATGTTTTCCGAGCAAGGTTCATATCTAAGAAAAAACAGTGTGTCAATGATGGATACTTTCAACTAGATATATTTTATAAGAACTGTCCTATCACTTGAGTGAAGAAAAACTTTTTTTATGAGCATTAACTTTCAAAATCGACGAACTTGTTTAAAAAAACAGGTTTTCAAGTAATCAAAATTCTGTTGAGTAAAAAAACATCAAGAAAATACAAACCTTCGCCGAGTTCTTTTGCATTTTCGTTCTTTAAAAATTCTTGGCACACAGGCTTCCAGGCATTCTCTCGGACAATCTCATCCTTGTACTCTTTTTTGCTAGTATCGTACAAGCACGGTAATTTCCGAACAGCTTTGATCAGAAGTTTTTTGTTTATATTTTTAGCTGCCATCTTTCTTGACTTTACTATTGTTCTGGAGCGTCACCGAGCGTCAAAGTTAAATTTATTTAACTTTGACGCGTCGTGACGCATGGCTGAAAAAACGTGATGCGTGCGCATAGCAGCAATCAATGCAAACCATATTTGGTCAGCGTCATGACGCGCCGCCGCCCGGGTGCTATGTGATTTATACTTGGAAGACGTGACGTCGAAGCGGCCCGGGTGCTATGTGATTTATACTTGGAAGTGTAAATTTTAGCTTGTGTAAGAAAATCTTTAAACCATCGTGAAATTGTATCAGCGGAGACAGGTCGATGAGGACGACAAAATGAGATTAAAAGTTGCTGGTTATCACCTCGCAACAAAGCAGTTGCTTCGATATATCTTGTTAAGTGTGTATAGATACAATGTAGGCTCAGAAACATCTTTTTCATAGACAATTGGCTATTGATGAAAACGGGGGGGAGTTTGCTTAAGTTTATCAATTATTTGGAACGTGTCTGCGGATGGAGTAACATGCAAATTGTCCAGTTGTAAGGCCTGTATAGTTTGACGTCGTTGGCCACTTAGAAGGCACAACAGAATTTTAATCGAAGCGTAAGAGCTCTAAGTGACAAATCCTGAACACAAGGTTGGCTGCGGATAAAGTTAAATACGGAATGCTCGTTCCAGACAGATTGATACTTAGGAAGTGAAGGTCGTAACTGGAAAACGCCACACATGAATCTTTTCACTGTAGGATTATTACCGAAGTCTGGGATCTGAAACAGTGACGATAAAGCACTTCTTGCGGTATTAATTGAACTGTACGATAAGCCAGCATTAAACAATGAAGTCAAGAAATTAATAGCGATGGATACAGGTAGATTAACTGGGTTGCAAAGACGAGTTTCACAAAATGTTTGCCATCTTCTAATATATGTATTATATTGACTATACGTTGAACTCCTCCAAGAAGACATAATAATATCTACGGAGGAAGTAGACAGACCTTGGTTTGAGTAAAATTGCCTGATACTAAACCTACCATTAGCTTCAGTTTGTGCAAAGAGGGTGTTCGGTTTGAGGTAGAGCTGGTAGACATAGGATTGCTTTGCGAGGTCGAAGATAAACTTACCAAGCTTGTGTAGGCCACTTCGGAACAACAAGTATCCCCGCTGCAGTGTCTTGTTTGATTGAAGAACACGGAGAATGCAGCTAAAGGGAGGAAAACAGTAAAAATTTTCAGTGGTCCAGGGGAATGTGAATGCATTAATTGCAAAAGCATTAGGATCTGGCCGGAGAGAACAATATTTATCAAATTGTTTGTTTAATCTTGAAGCGAAAAGGTCAGTTTCTGGTTTAAAATTCAAACGAGATAAAGCATTGATTAAGCATTGATTTGATATCATCCACTCTACATATTGCTTATAGATGACATTACGAAAAGGTGACATTATATTCACCAGGAATATGACAAGCAGTAATCCAAATTTGGTTAATATAACAAAAATTCCGAATCTTTATTGCCATGGTATTGCAATTATGGCTATGATTGGTACCCATGTGATTAATTAGCGCAACAGCAGTTGTATTATCAAGCATTAATTTGACATGTTTGTTTACAAGCTGTGTTTTAAAACTTTTGAGGGCAAAATAGGCTGCTAGCAGTTCTAAAACGTTAATGTGATGTAAGGCTTCAGCTGGGGACCATGGCCCCCCAGAGGAAATGGAGTTGAGTGCAGCTCTCCATCCAGAAAGTGAAGCATCTGAGTATAGAGTCAGGTTGGGGGGTGACCGTGATATGTATGTAAAACTGTCATCTAAATTCAAAAGCCACCATTCTATATCAGACAGGGCAAGTTTACTGAGCCCCATAATAGCATCAAAATCGCCACGAGAGGTCTTTAACGCCTGTATTTTATCATTTTCGAGTGAGAGATAATGTATTCCCCCAAAAGGAACTGCAGGGAGGCACGAGAACATATAGCCAACAGCTTTTGCAGTATTACGAATAGACACAGCATGACAATGTACTTTTAAATTTTGCAAGCATTCCTTTATCTTTCTTTGTTCAACGCTCAGCAGGTAAATTAATTGTCATAGAAATCGAATCAAGAATGAAGTCTAGGAATTTGATTTGCTGTTTAGGAAAAAATTCTGATTTTTCTGGATGTACAACAAAACCAAGGTCATTAAATTGTCTGAAAGTAGATAGCACAGTATTAACACAACCTTCATATGTACCACTTTGTAAATTAATATCATCAATATAACTTGCAATAATGTGTCCCTGTGATCTTAATGTAGCAACAGGGGGCTTCAAAAGTTTAGTAAATTGCCTTGGACAAGATGCCAAGCCATTAGGATGAGCAGTATAGGCATACAAAGACCCTTCATAGGAAAATTTTAAATATCGCTGGCATGAGGGGTGAATTCTGACACTGTAATATGTGTCTTTAAGGTCAATAGAAGCCATCCAGCAGTTTGGTGTAATCATAGCAAGTATGCTTTGAATAGTTTCCATTTTGAAATGATATGCAACAAAAGAATTTAACTGTTTAAGATTTAGAAAAAGAGGGATCTTACCGTCCTTCTTGGGTAGACAGAAAATTGGAGAAATGAACTCTCCATTTTCATGAGCACATCGTTTAAGCACATTTTTCGATAGCAAATCAGAGATTTCTCGCTCAATTAACGGAGCGTGTTGATAAGAAATTGAATTACCCGCATACTGAAGTTGAATTTCAGGGGGTTGAACAAATTCAATCAGATCACCAGAAACAATTTGTAGTATATAAGGATCAGAAGTAATCTTTGACCCGAGTCCCGCAGAAAAAGATTTTACTCGAAACAACAAATAAGGGTGTAAAAAGTTGATTATGAAAAAATCTAAGGTTGATACTTTGTGAATTACATTTTCCAGTTCTTTGAGAACTTCTTCCCTCTATGGCTGAATGGTTGGAGATTGCCCTGACCTCTGCCGGAGGGTAGCCTCTCCCCCGCTGCAATAAAAAAGAATTGTTTTGAGAGGCGTAATTCCCAAAATGTTGATATGGGT